TGTTAAATTTTACATTTTTTATTGTAATTCTTTTAGTTTTTAGTTCTTTGTGTTTTATTTTAAGTATTATTTTTAAAATATATATTTTTGTTTTTAAAATTATTTGTACTCTCTTTATGTCTGCACCGACCGAGACACCACGTTGAATCCCTTGTGTTTGAAAACGTTCTGGAAACAATCCGAATTCCAGTTTCCTGCTTCGTTAATACCGATCAAATGTTATAATCAACATCAGATCTGTGGCTGTGTGTAAAGTCTTTAACAATACATTCATACTAAATGATCATATAGCTCCTGTTAGCAGCAGGCAGTGGCTGTACGATCAGAGCCTCCCTTCACTTCTGAGACTCTATTATAATACCAGCTCCCCCCACAGACTCTGGGTCAGTTCAGCTTTATTTCATCCACATGTTTCTCCGCCTAAAGGCCCGGACACACCGGGATGAGCGTCCTGTCGCCCTACTCAGATTGGTGTGTCCCGCACCGTGGTTTCTTTTCAGCCGTGCCGACACCTTCAGGCTGTCGGCCAAAGAAATCACTCTGATTGGCTGTTCAGTTTAGCGAATCAGTGCATGAGAAGTGAAGAAGACACACGGGGTGTTTCTCAATGTCGGGTAAAGCTGCTTCAGAGCCACTATTTCAAGCATGCTACGTCATCGAGTGCCGCCGAAGTACTGTTCCAATCTCCAGCATACTTGGAAATCTACCGAGCCCGGCGTACTCCGTTTGGAGAAATATAGAGTCTGCACATGAGTAGACTCCGCGGTCTTAAAATCCCCACAATGCTTTGCGCACGGACCAATTTCCCCAAATCTGTGGCGGAAGATGTTAGAGGCGGGGCCTCTCATATGACGCACACCTGCACACTTGCTAGCCTGTTCCACTCTTTGTTTTCCGAATGCCAGGAAGTATTCTTGACTCGCTTCTGAAGCAAGATGCTCGGCAGACATGTGCTACCAAGCAAGCGTACTCGCCATTGAGAAACACCCACAGACGGTTATTATTTTTCATTTTCCAGTACCGCACTAGATATGTTTTAGATTATAAGTCGTGATGTGAAACAGTCTGTGATAGACGAGAGTGAAAATGGAACGCACGCTATTTGTTGTTTGTATATATCACGCAGTCTGTCTTCTGGTTCCTCTTTTGAATTAAGAATACACACTACCGCCGCCTGCTGGTAAGGAGAGTTATTGCCACTCACGCATGCGCAGTTCGTACGTGCTACTTGGCCGTCGGCTGAAGTCTTTGCGGTGTGCTCCAGAGCGACACATGGCCAAGACGCAGAGACGTGTTCTTTGGTGTCAGTTTGGTGTGTCAGGGCCTTTACACTGGCTGCAGCCGACGGGGCGTTCAGGAGCCGCGGGAAAAAACAGATTTCTGTCTCCATGAGAGGCTGTGGAGGAGTTCTGGTTCTCCCAGTCGATCCAGTCAGAGAGGTTTTAAAACCTGGGGACTGTTCCTGCTTCCTCTCATCTGTTCTGATAACATAACCTCAGTGTTTTTATACTATAGGTGACCTCTAACCCCCCCCCCCCTCCTCAGAAGCCTCCCGGTCACGATGACTCAGCAGATGCAGAACCTGCAGCTGACTCAGAGCAGGAAGTGCCCCGGAGGCCCCGCCTCCCCCAGCGCCGCCAAGCGCCTCTACAGGAACCTGTCGGAGAAGCTGAGAGGAAGCACCGCGTCCTTCGAGGACACCTACTTCTTCGGGAAGACTGACCGCCTACGAAAAGCCTCGGTGAGTCACTGCATCGATCTGACTGTGGGGAATCAGAACAGATATAAATACACCAGAGATAGTTCCTATCAAGCAAACACACTGAGATCAGCTGAGGAAGAGAAACTGTTCACTTCTCACTCAAAACAGAGAGACTCCTTTTGTAACCAGCAGAGAGGATGCTGGCCTCTCCAGGTCATCTTCAGATCAAGTTCATCTGTTGCCATCAGGGTGTAGATATTCTGGACCTGCTCTTAAGACACATCGCTTTTCAAAACCATTCATCCCCTCTGCACTCTAACTTTTACATTCTTGAATTTTTTTTTTAACTTGATTATTTATTTATTTATTTATTTATTTATTTATGTATTTATTTATTTATTTATTTATTTATTTATGTATTTATGTATTTGCCTATTTATTTATTTATTTATTGTGATGCTATGAACTATTTATGGTGTAAATGTGAATGATCCACATCCAGGTGTGCTTTCCTCCTGTATCTTCCTGCCTGTGTTCATCAGCTGCTCATAACCAATCGCCCCTTGCAGGATCAATACAGTTGTTGATTGATTGATAGTTCAAAGGAGTAGAAAGTTTTCCGTCTTGGTTCAGATTTGTTGTTTGCAACTAAACCCGTGGTGCAAAACCTTATACCTTTATTACCCTAATTGATGACACTTTATTGGCGTATCAATAGTGCAGGAATTGCATCAATAAAGTGGAAAATGAATCAATCGATGTGTGGAAAGTAAAATATATGGATCGTGTGGAAAAGGTTTATCAGATGTATCAGTGCAGGAAAATCTATCAATAATACAATTCATGGCATTTATTTTAGCGCTTTTCCAAGTGCTTTACATATGACATATATCAGACATGTGATACAACCCCCACAGGAGAAATGAAGGGTGAAGTGTATTGCTCAAGGGCACAACGGCATGCTGACTGCAGTGACGATCAGTTAGGGATTGAACCGGTGCTTCCCTTGTTCCCTTATCTGAGAATCAGCGCTCTCAACCCACTGCGCCACGGCAACATTTTTGACCATTAGTGAAATCAAATCTATTAAGAGGGCGGAAAATGAATCAATAACTGTTTCAATAGATGTATCAATGGTGGAAAAATGTAATATCTAGATATCTACTGTCGTGATAGATATTGATGAGACTCTTTCCAACATGACCTCAGTTTGATTCTCACTCCGTCTGCAGCTCCGTCGCGTGCTGTTCTTCCTGGAGGATAGGCAGTAGTAAACAGCTGGGGGTGAACCCTGTGTTGGGGGTGAACCCTGTGTTGGGGGTGAACCCTGTGCTGGGGGTGAACCCTGTGTTGGGGGTGAACCCTGTGCTGGGGGTGAACCCTGTGTTGGGGGTGAACCCTGTGCTGGGGGTGAACCCTGTGTTGGGGGTGAACCCTGTGCTGGGGGTGAACCCTGTGTTGGGGGTGAACCCTGTGCTGGGGGTGAACCCTGTGCTGGGGGTGAACCCTGTGTTGGGGGTGAACCCTGTGTTGGGGGTGAACCCTGTGCTGGGGGTGAACCCTGTGTTGGGGGTGAACCCTGTGCTGGGGGTGAACCCTGTGTTGGGGGTGAACCCTGTGCTGGGGTGAACCCGGTGTTGGGGTGAACCCTGTGCTGGGGGTGTGAACCCTGTGTTGGGGGTGACCCTGTGCTGGGGGTGAACCCTGTGTTGGGGGTGAACCCTGTGTTGGGGTGAACCCTGTGCTGGGGGTGAACCCTGTGTTGGGGGTGAACCCTGTGTTGTGTTGGGGGTGAACCCTGTGTTGGGGGTGAACCCTGTGTTGGGGGTGAACCTGTGCTGGGGGTGAACCCTGTGTTGGGGGTGAACCCTGTGCTGGGGGTGAACCCTGTGTTGGGGGTGAACCCTGTGTTGGGGGTGAACCCTGTGTTGGGGGTGAACCCTGTGCTGGGGGTGAACCCTGTGTTGGGGGTGAACCCTGTGTTGTGTTGGGGGTGAACCCTGTGCTGGGGGTGAACCCTGTGTTGGGGGTGAACCCTGTGTTGGGGGTGAACCCTGTGTTGGGGGTGAACCCTGTGCTGCGGGTGAACCCTGTGTTGGGGGTGAACCCTGTGTTGGGGGTGAACCCTGTGCTGGGGGTGAACCCTGTGCTGGGGGTGAACCCTGTGCCTGTGTTGGGGGTGAACCCTGTGTTGGGGGTGAACCCTGTGCTGGGGGTGAACCCTGTGTTGGGGGTGAACCCTGTGCTGGGGGTGAACCCTGTGCTGGGGGTGAACCCTGTGCTGGGGGTGAACCCTGTGTCAGCACGGAGATCAATGAAGATCTGCTTTCAATAATCCAGTTAACATCCTGAACCCTTTATTAGATCTCTGACCCTCCAGCGCCTCCAGCTGCTTCCCTTCACTTTCTACTGAGAGTTATTCTGCTTTCATTTAACGGCTCGCTGTAGTTTCTATTTCACCCTCTCACTCTTCATCTCTCACTCTTCCTCTCTCACTCTTCCTCTCTCACTCTTCCTCTCTCACTCTTCCTCTCTCACTCTTCATCACTCTTCATCACCTCCTCCCTGCTAAGATTCATCATGGCTGACATTTGAGAGGAAAGGGGGGAAATCTGTGAGGGACTCGATGAGTGAGGGACTCGATGAGTGAGGGACTAGATGAGTGAGGGACTCGATGAGTGAGGGACTCGATGAGTGAGGGACTCGATGAGTGAGGGACTAGATGAGTGAGGGACTCGATGAGAGAGGGACTAGATGAGTGAGGGACTTGATGAGAGAGGGACTCGATGAGTGAGGGACTTGATGAGTGAGAGACTCGATGAGTGAGAAACTCGATGAGTGAGGGACTAGATGAGTGAGAGACTCGATGAGTGAGGGACTCGATGAGTGAGGGACTCGATGAGTGAGGGACTCGACGAGTGAGGGACTAGATGAGTGAGAGACTCGATGAGTGAGGGACTCGATGAGTGAGGGACTCGATGAGTGAGAGACTCGATGAGTGAGGGACTAGATGAGTGAGAGACTCGATGACTGAGAGACTGGATGAGTGAGGGACTCGATGAGTGAGAGACTAGATGAGTGAGGGACTCGATGAGTGAGGGACTCGATGAGTGAGGGACTCGATGAGTGAGAGACTCGATGAGTGAGGGACTAGATGAGTGAGAGACTCGATGACTGAGAGACTGGATGAGTGAGGGACTCGATGAGTGAGGGACTCGATGAGAGAGGGACTCGATGAGTGAGGGACTCGATGAGTGAGGGACTCGATGAGAGAGGGACTCGATGAGTGAGGGACTCGATGAGTGAGGGACTCGATGAGTGAGGGACTCGATGAGTGAGGGACTCGATGAGTGAGGGACTAGATGAGAGAGGGACTCGATGAGTGAGGGACTCGATGAGTGAGGGACTCGATGAGTGAGGGACTCGATGAGTGAGGGACTCGATGAGAGAGGGACTCGACGAGTGAGGGACTAGATGAGAGAGGGACTCGACGAGAGAGGGACTCGACGAGTGAGGGACTCGACGAGTGAGGGACTCGACGAGTGAGGGACTCGACGAGTGAGGGACTAGATGAGAGAGGGACTCGACGAGTGAGGGACTAGACGAGTGAGGGACTCGACGAGTGAGGGACTCGACGAGTGAGGGACTCGACGAGTGAGAGACTAGACGAGAGAGGGACTCGACGAGTGAGGGACTCGACGAGTGAGAGACTCGACGAGTGAGGGACTCGACGAGAGAGGGACTCGACGAGTGAGGGACTCGACGAGGGAGGGACTAGATGAGAGAGGGACTGAGTGAGGGACTTGACGAGTGAGGGACTCGACTCGATGAGTGAGGGACTCGATGAGAGAGGGACTCGATGAGTGAGGGGCTAGATGAGAGAGGGACTAGATGAGAGAGGGACTCGATGAGAGAGGGACTCGATGAGAGAGGGACTCGATGAGAGAGGGACTGAGTGAGGGACTCGACGAGTGAGGGACTCGACGAGTGAGGGACTCGACGAGTGAGGGACTCGACGAGAGAGGGACTCGATGAGTGAGGGACTAGATGAGAGAGGGACTAGATGAGAGAGGGACTCGATGAGAGAGGGACTCGATGAGTGAGGGACTCGATGAGTGAGGGACTAGATGAGAGAGGGACTAGATGAGAGAGGGACTCGATGAGAGAGGGACTCGATGAGTGAGGGATTCGATGAGTGAGGGATTCGATGAGTGAGGGACTCGATAAGAGAGGGACTCGATGAGTGAGGGACTCAATGAGTGAGGGACTCAATGAGTGAGAGACTAGATGAGTGAGGGACTCGATGAGTGAGGGATTCGATGAGTGAGGGACTCGATAAGAGAGGGACTCGATGAGTGAGGGACTCGATGAGAGAGGGACTCGATGAGAGAGGGACTCGATGAGAGAGGGACTCGATGAGTGAGGGACTCAATGAGTGAGGGACTCGATGAGTGAGAGACTAGATGAGAGAGGGACTCGATGAGAGAGGGACTCGATGAGTGAGGGACTCGATGAGAGAGGGACTCGATGAGTGAGGGACTCGATGAGAGAGGGACTCGATGAGTGAGGGACTCGATGAGAGAGGGACTCGATGAGTGAGGGACTCGATGAGCGAGGGACTGAGTGAGGGACTCGATGAGAGAGGGACTCGATGAGTGAGGGACTCGATGAGTGAGGGACTCGATGAGAGAGGGACTCGATGAGAGAGGGACTCGACGAGAGAGGGACTCGACGAGTGAGGGACTAGATGAGAGAGGGACTAGATGAGAGAGGGACTTGATGAGAGAGGGACTCGATGAGTGAGGGACTCGATGAGGGAGACACTAGACGGTTAAATACATGTTAAAAGTGTAAATAAATATACTTAAAATCAGGGGTTAAAGTCCTACATTTACTGATTTTTTACTTTGGGTTGTTAATTTACAACAGAAAAATCTGAAATGTATGAGAAGAAATTACTAAAATGCGTAATTTTCCGACACTAAAAGACAGCGCTTGTTTCCTGATATAATAATAAAAGACAGCGCTTGTTTTCTGATATAATAATAAAAGACAGCGCTTGTTTCCTGATATAATAATAAAAGACAGCGCTTGTTTCCTGATATAATAATAAAAGAGAGCGCTTGTTTCGGCCACAGGCGATGCAGGGCAGCGACTGTATCTTCGAGGCGGTGGAGCAGCAGGACCTGGACTCGGTGCAGCTTCTTCTCTACCAGTTCTCAGCCGAGGAGCTGGACCTGAACACCCCGAACAGCCAGGGGCTAACTCCTCTGGACATCTCCATCATGACCAACAACACGCCCATCGCCAAGCTGCTGCTGAGGGCCGGAGGCAGGGAGAGCCCCCACTGTGAGTAACATACACTATACATAATATATATATATATATAAAGAACTACAGCACGGTCACATGACTTCACGTCACCACCGCTAAGCTAAAGGCGGCTAATGTTGGGCTATAAAAGAACTACAGCACGGTCACATGACTTCACGTCACCACCGCTAAGCTAAAGGCGGCTAATGTTGGGCTATAAAGGAACTACAGCACGGTCACATGACTTCACGTCACCACCGCTAAGCTAAAGGTGGCTAATGTTGGGCTATAAAGGAACTACAGCACGGTCACATGACTTCACGTCACCACCGCTAAGCTAAAGGAGGCTAATGTTGGACTATAAAAGAACTACAGCACGGTCACATGACTTCACGTCACCACCGCTAAGCTAAAGGTGGCTAACGTTGGGCTATAAAGGAACTACAGCACGGTCACATGACTTCACGTCACCACGCTAAGCTAAAGGTGGCTAACGTTGGGCTATAAAGGAACTACAGCACGGTCACATGACTTCACGTCACCACCGCTAAGCTAAAGGAGGCTAATGTTGGGCTATAAAGGAACTACAGCACGGTCACATGACTTCACGTCTCCACCGCTAAGCTAAAGTTGGCTAATGTTGGGCTATAAAGGAACTACAGCACGGTCACATGACTTCACGTCACCACCGCTAAGCTAAAGGAGGCTAATATTGGACTATAAAGAACTACAGCACGGTCACATGACTTCACGTCACCACCGCTAAGCTAAAGGTGGCTAATGTTGGGCTATAAAGGAACTACAGCACGGTCACATGACTTCACGTCACCACCGCTAAGCTAAAGGAGGCTAATGTTGGGCTATAAAGGAACTACAGCACGGTCACATGACTTCACGTCACCACCGCTAAGCTAAAGGAGGCTAATGTTGGGCTATAAAGGAACTACAGCACGGTCACATGACTTCACGTCACCACCGCTAAGCTAAAGGTGGCTAATGTTGGGCTATAAAGGAACTACAGCACGGTCACATGACTTTGCGTCACCACCGCTAAGCTAAAGGAGGCTAATGTTGGGCTATAAAGGAACTACAGCACGGTCACATGACTTCACGTCACCACCGCTAAGCTAAAGGAGGCTAATGTTGGGCTATAAAGGAACTACAGCACGGTCACATGACTTCACGTCACCACAGCTAAGCTAAAGGAGGCTAATGTTGGGCTATAAAGGAACTACAGCACGGTCACATGACTTCACGTCACCACCGCTAAGCTAAAGGAGGCTAATGTTGGGCTATAAAGGAACTACAGCACGGTCACATGACTTCACGTCACCACAGCTAAGCTAAAGGAGGCTAATGTTGGGCTATAAAGGAACTACAGCACGGTCACATGACTTCACGTCACCACCGCTAAGCTAAAGGAGGCTAATGTTGGGCTATAAAGGAACTACAGCACGGTCACATGACTTCACGTCACCACCTCTAAGCTACAGGAGGCTAATGTTGGGCTATAAAGGAACTACAGCACGGTCACATGACTTCACGTCACCACCGCTAAGCTAAAAGTAGCTAATGTGGGGCTATAAACAGGGGTGCACATAACTGGTACGCAGGTACGCATGCGCGGCAACAATCTGAAATGCGTACCCTCACTTGTGTCACAAAGCGCATTTGCGTACCGACGTACTTGTGAAGCTTTTCCAGAAGGCGGTTAGATCACCGGACGACAGAGTCGGTCTCCGTGTGCACAGACATGCTGTTAACGTTGGTCTGTACAGCAGCACTGCGCTAAAACAGCTGATCACAACGTTCACACGCTCTGTGGTCACGAAGCTTTGTACTCCACTACCACCACCACCCCCCCCCCCCCCCCCCCCCCCCCGGTGGACATTCGCGATACAGAGGGCTTCATGGGAACTTTGAGGGGAGCCAGAAGTTGGAGTTCCAAACACTGACTCCAGGTACTCATCTGAGTACCTCACTGAGAAAGTTGTGTGCACCCCTGGCTATAAAGGAACTACAGCACGGTCACATGACTTCACGTCACCACCGCTAAGCTAAAGGTGGCTAATGTTGGGCTATAAAGGAACTACAGCACGGTCACATGACTTCACGTCACCACCACTAAGCTAAAGGTGGCTAATGTTGGGCTATAAAAGAACTACAGCACGGTCACATGACTTCACGTCACCACCGCTAAGCTAAAGGTGGCTAATGTTGGGCTATAAAGGAACTACAGCACGGTCACATGACTTCACGTCACCACCGCTAAGCTAAAGGTGGCTAATGTTGGGCTATAAAGGAACTACAGCACGGTCACATGACTTCACGTCACCACCACTAAGCTAAAGGTGGCTAATGTTGGGCTATAAAAGAACTACAGCACGGTCACATGACTTCACGTCACCACCGCTAAGCTAAAGGTGGCTAATGTTGGGCTATAAAGGAACTAAGCACGGTCACATGACTTCCGTCACCCCCGCTAAGCTAAAGGTGGCTAATGTGGGGCTATAAAGGAACTACAGCACGGTCACATGACTTCACGTCACCACCGCTAAGCTAAAGGTGGCTAATGTTGGGCTATAAAGGAACTACAGCACGGTTCACATGACTTCACGGTCACCACCGCCTAAGCTAAAGGTGGCTAATGTGTTGGGCTATAAAGACCTACAGCACGGTCACATGACTTCACGTCACCACCGCTAAGCTAAAGGTGGCTAAGTGGGCTATAAAGGAAATACAGCACGGTCACATGACTTCACGTCACCACCGCTAAGCTAAAGGTGGCTAATGTTGGGCTATATAAAGGAACTACAGCACGGTCACATGACTTCACGTCACCACCGCTAAGCTAAAGGTGGCTAATGTTGGGCTATAAAGGAACTACAGCACAGTCACATGACTTCACGTCACCACCGCTAAGCTAAAGGTGGCTAATGTTGGGCTATAAAGGAAACTACAGCACGGTCCACATGACTTCACGTCACCACCACTAAGCTCAAAGGTGGCTAATGTTGGGCTATAAAAGAACTACAGCACGGTCACATGACTTCACGTCACCACCGCTAAGCTAAAGGTGGCTAATGTTGGGCTATAAAGGAACTACAGCACGGTCACATGACTTCACGTCACCACCGCCTAAGCTAAAGGTGGCTAATGTTGGGCTATAAAGGAACTACAGCACGGTCACATGACTCACGTCACCACCCGCTAAGCTAAAGGTGGCTAATGTTGGGCTATAAAGGAACTACAGCACGGTCACATGACTTCACGTCACCACCGCTAAGCTAAAGGTGGCTAATGTTGGGCTATAAAGGAACTACAGCACGGTCACATGACTTCACGTCACCACCGCTAAGCTAAAGGTGGCTAATGTTGGGCTATAAACGTTGTTATATGATCAGAGAAATGTTCCAACATAACTCTGAAAGCAGAGCTGTGTCCTTCTACTGATCTGAGGTGATTTTAGTCTCCAACAATGAACCCAATTTCCGCCCGATGGTCTGCAGAACTTGTTGAAAAGGAGCCGAGTGACCTTCAGAAACATCATTACCTGCAGAGCGCGGCCACCTGGAGAGAAATGTCAGGAAACAAGTTTCACACAAGATAAATGTGAAGGGTCACCGAGCTGCAAACACACAAAGAAAGCCCTCTGAGAACCTTGAAAGCAATATTTTCTGGCTTTTTAAACCATTAACAGTGGAAGAAGACCAAATGAATCCATAATGGGAATAGTAGTTAGTTAAAGCCCTAAATGTGTACATTAATCAGCAGTACTTTGGGTAATTCATGAGGAATTGTAATCATTTTCTAGCACATAAAACGACAGTATTCACCGTCAGCTTCTCAAGTATTACATGTTTCTGTTTTATATCGTATTAGAGGAAACGTCTTTGGACATTTAGAAACCTTTCAGTATTTGTTTGACATTTTATTCACGTAAAAATAAGTGAATAGAAAATAAGTCCTTAACTCTACTTACTGAGAAACGTTTTATATTAAAGTTAATCATAGAAAGGTTAAACGTGTCTTTAGTGAAACTATTCAAGCTCAGGAAGGAATGAAAGTGTGTGTGTGTGTGTGTGTGTGTGTGTGGTTGTGTGTGTGTGTGTGTGTGTGTGTGGTGTGTGTGTGTGTGTGTGTGTGTGTGTGTGTGTGTGTGTGTGTGTGTGTGTGTGTGTGCATGTGCGTGTGCGTGTGTGTGTGTGACTCCCAGCTTTAACAAGGTTTGTCGTTTTAATGGTTTCACTTTTCCAATGATGCATGTAACGCCGGGGCAATTACAGCTAAGTGATTTGTTGTGCGGGGGGGGAGTGTGTGTGTGTGTGTGTGTGTGTGTGTGTGTGTGTGTGTGTGTGTGTGTGTGTGTTAATTTACGAGTCCCCTCGGTTTATATTTAGGCGTCAGTCAGACGAGAAACTAATTTACAGCCTTTTCAATTAGCAGCCGTTAGCAGCCGTTAGCAGCCGTTAGCAGCTAACGACAGGAAGTGACACCTCCACCTTCAGAATAAAGTGCAGAGAGGCAGCGTTCACCTTTAGTCATGTCGTTTAAATTAAAGGTGAGATGTGACTCTCTATAATGTCTTGGTCAACGGTCAATCTGATTGGTCAATGCAACAGTTTCATTGCTATTTGTTTTAAGCTACAAGGTTGACTCTGAAGGCCTCAGGGCAGATGCATGCTACCTAGCAACACATTCTGACTGACAATATGATTGGATAAAAGCTCCAACATTGCAACGCAGCGCGACTGAGAAAATCTATGAACTGAAGATTGTATTGTATTCCACGTGTACTTCACATGTATTCCACGTGTACTTCACATGTATTCCACGTGTACTTCACATGTATTCCACGTGTACTTCACATGTATTCCATGTGTACTTCACATGTATTCCACGTGTACTTCACATGTATTTCCTGTGTACTTCACATGTATTCCACGTGTACTTCACATGTATTTCCTGTGTACTTCACATGTATTTCCCGTGTACTTCACATGTATTTCCCGTGTACTTCACATGTATTTCCCGTGTACTTCACATGTATTTCCATGTGTACTTCACATGTATTCCACGTGTACTTCACATGTATTCCACGTGTACTTCACATGTATTTCCTGTGTACTTCACATGTATTTCCTGTGTACTTCACATGTATTTCCCGTGTACTTCACATGTATTTCCCGTGTACTTCACATGTATTTCCACGTGTACTTCACATGTATTCCACGTGTACTTCACATGTATTCCACGTGTACTTCACATGTATTTCCTGTGTACTTCACATGTATTCCACGTGTACTTCACATGTATTCCACGTGTACTTCACATGTATTCCACGTGCACTTCACATGTATTCCACGTGTACTTCACATGTAATCCACGTGTACTTCACATGTATTCCACGTGTACTTCACATGTATTCCACGTGTACTTCACATGTATTTCCCGTGTACTTCACATGTATTCCACGTGTACTTCACATGTATTTCCCGTGTACTTCACATGTATTCCACGTGTACTTCACATGTATTTCCTGTGTAACAATCCATTTGTCTCGCTGTGTCTTTGTCTGTTTTATTTCATTCTTCCAGCATTGCCTCACCTCTCTGTTTCCTGTGTGTGTGTTTGCAGTTGTGAGCGTGGAGGCTCGGGAGGCTCTGATTGGCTCCCTGGTGCAGGAGGCGGAGCTCCGAGCAGCTGATCTGTCCTCTCAGGCTCAGAGGGAGGGTCTCTCTCTGGAGGCCTGTCAGAAGGACAAGACCCTCAAAGCCTGGGAGTGGAGGAGCAAACTGTACCGCCGCATGAGGGCCGGATTCCTGCACGCACGTCAGTACATCTATTATATTATTATATTATAATTTATTTTATATTTATTATATTGTATTTTATTTTATTATATTTTATTGCGTACGTGTGTGCATGTGTGTGTGTGCATGTGTGTGTGTGTGCGACACCTGACCTCTGATCTGCAGGTTAGTTATTGAAGTGAGTTGCAGCTATAAAACCTGTTCTAGTTGGAAAGTCCATCAAACAACGAGACGAGAAGAAACAGAAATATGCAAAGTGACACAAAAACAGAAAACAAGATGCAAAGTGAGACATAAATGATGCCAAACGAGATGCATTATCACAACCTCAAAAAGTCAAAAAGTCCAGAAAATAAGACACAACACGAGATGCAACACGAGAGGCATCATGCATGAAAACCAGCCACTAAAAACATTATTAAAGGGGACCTATCATGCAAAATGCACTTTTGTACGTCTTTTCTACATGAATATGTGTCCCCGGTGTTCCAGGGAACTCACCAAGTGTCAGAAAACACAACCCTCTCTATTTTCCTCCATACCCAAATCTCTAAAAAAGGGGCTGCAACGGATCTGATAAAAACTGATCCAGATTTGAACACTGTCCTGACGTCAGGACGGTGGCGCTACGGCTATTGGGCCAACTCCACCAATCAGGAGGAGACAGCCACGGCCATTGCCGTTCTAAAGCGCTGGAGACGCTGTAGTACATATGCCAGGCCTGTAGGTGGTGCTGTTCTCACAGAATCTGCCCTTGCTAAAACAGAGCTAGAAAATGTCAAATTGAGCAAAATGAGGCATGGCTAAAATGCATGATCTGTTTGGTATTTTGAAAAAAATAAAGTATAAATATGCCTTATATAGGTATGGTCCTACACTATATTATTATAATATAGCATGATAGGTCCACTTTAAAATAACTCCCAAGAGACAAAGAGAGAGCAAAACCAAATGCAAGATGACACCAGAGAGACGGTTAAAGATGCAAGAAATAAATCAATATAATGAGATTCTGTGTTAGAGAGAGCTGGACATCAGGTCAGATCTCAGGTAGTGATTATAATAATACTGT